GTCAGTTCCAATTTCCATAGTGTGGGGGAGCCTGCATTACCCTGCCTTGGCAGTACCTGGTGATGTCTGCTTTGTCCAAAGTGTAGATTTCTGGCCTGCTCAAGTCTGATATAACAAAGCATGCAGGCAGGGCCCGAGAGTCAGGAATTGTTATGCGTAACAATGCAGATTAAGCATAGTATGCGAGACCACCTCAAGAACACACAGGACAAGCAGCCTTGTACTGGTACTTGTTTCTGATCAGCAAAAAGTACAGATGCAGCCATAAAACTGTTAACTGTGCACATAGCAGTGGCATTCTGAGTAGCAGGATCTACCCCAAATAGGGGCGTATCCTAAATAATACGTAATCAATTGGTAAATATTATTAGAATGACCAAGTCTCGCTTTGCTATAAATTGGGTTTAGTAAGAACAATCGGTGGGGGGAGGAGGGGGGAGCGCAGGAATAGGCAGGGTTGACCAACACATCCTGCTTGAGGTAACTAGAAGTGATTAGATCCTTCACACCGGCTATGTTCCTATGGGTGGGAAAACATGGAACTACAACCTCCTGCCTGGCACCGTAGGTAGTATACAGGTGAAGTGTAATGAATTAGGCTTTATTATTGTATATAGTAGATCTGTTAGTAACTGCTTTTGAATTGCTTTGCACTGTATTTGCTTTAGAATTTATAGAATTTAAGGTTTAAATTGTATAGTATTTGTTCTTAAGGCTTGTAAACTTAAAAAACTGTATTAACTGCTTAAAGCTTGCAACAAATAAAGTGGTTAAGTAGCCCTGAAGTGTACTGGTTTCCCTTGGAGCTAAAATAAATCAAACCACACGACACACATAAATGCAGCTTAATAAAAATATCACAAGGAAAAATTATTCCAGGCAAATAAGAAATGCATCATTCACTATTTTCTAATGCAATCAAAAATAAAAATTAAGAATTTAAATGTATGTTATACTATATCAACATACCTTTATGTAAGCTAATTATATATTACATCTTCCAACCAGAACTACCACCAAAGTTAATGTAAAGAAAATATATGGACTTGCAACTCAACTTGCTTCAATGGTTACTAACCAATAAGAATAAATCTTTCTTTAGGAAAAATTACTATAATATAGAAACTATAAATGTAGAACAGATTAAAATGCATATTTAAATCCAGGTTTCCTGCTTGCTGATTTAAATCAGTTCACTTTATAAAGGAAGAGACACAAAAAAGACACTTGTTCTGAAGTGGTCAACAGGTCTTCAGGATACGTAAAAGCAGGTTTATTTGATTAACAAGATGTTATCTTTGTCAACAATACTGGGATGAATGGTACCTATTATCTAATATAAGTAAGGCTTAATATACACCACACCAACAGGCACCATGTGCACAATACATGTAAAATGTGTACAATCTAAATAAATGTTAGGAAGTTAACAGTCCCACAATTTTGCTTTCTCACATCAAGCATTGCACAACACTTTACAAAGATGAAGTCAACTTTGGCATTAGAAAATAGGAAACTTGTCAAAGCAAAGATGCATTAATACTTTGTACCAAGTACAGTTAGGGAGTACTTCCATGGTTCATCAACACTTGGAATGTGGTACTCAAATGAGATATGGGACAAAACACAGCAAAGCCAAGACAAAGCTCCTACAAATTATAAGTGGCAAGTAAATAGCTGTGACTCGTAAAAATCATACTATAAATACTATTAACTGAAAAGCATACCTTTGACGTATATCTTCTTTGAAAGATGAACATGCTGCAAAAATTCACTTCCCTGAAGGTGATTGTGTGGGTCTCCTTTTTTGTATTATTGGGCTTACAGACAGTATTTTGACACTACACCCCATAGTCGTCGTAGTAATATTAAGATATGATCATGAAATCACCATGATGAATTTTGGTATAAAATAAGTCACATGACATGCCATTGGAAAAGTTATATTTTGAGGAATATGATTATCTTACTAGAATGAATGTATTGTTTTTGTAACTGAAGTTACAAATACTATGTATCTGTATTGAAATTGTGCTTAGTCTGCATGGCACACACAAGAAGCCCTTTTCTGAGCAAAGAAACCAGACAATGCTGATGGACAAACAGTAAAGGCAACGTACTGTGGAATAGTGTAGCGTAACTTTTCTGTGCGAGTTTTGGCCAGCCTGTAAGCAATGGCTACTATAACAATTCAAGGGCACGTAGTCAATCCACGTCTTTGGATTCCATCGTGGGATGTCAGTAAAATTTAAATATTTAAATTAATGGAGATTGCCTCTCTCCTAGAACTGGAAGGGACCTTGAAAGGTCATCGAGTCCAGTCCGCTGCCTTCACAGCAGGACCAAGTACCATCCCCGACAAATATTTGCCCCAAATCCCTAAATGGCCTCTGCAAGGATTGAACTCACACCCCTGGGTTTAGCAAGCCAATGCTCAAACCACTGAGCTATCCCTGCCTCCCAGACATAAGAATGGCCATACTGGGTCAGACCAAAGCCCCACCTAGCCCAGTATCCTGTCTGCCAACAGTGGCCAGCACCAGGTGCCCCAGAGAGGGTGGACCGAAGACAATGATCAAGCGATTTATCTCCTGCCATCCCTCTCCAGCCTCTGACAACAGAGGCCAAGGACACCATTTTATCCCCTGGCTAACAGCCTTTTATGGACTTAACCTCCATGAAATTATCTAGCTTCTCTTTAAACTTAATTATAGTCCTAGCCTTCACAGCCTTGACCGCCAATTTTCTTCCACTATTTGATCTGAGGAAGTGGGTCTGGCCCATGAAAGCTCATCACTTAATCATAGAATCATAGGACTGGAAGGGACCTCAAGAGGTCATTGAGTCCAGCCCCCCACCCTCAACGCAGGACCAAGCTCCGTCTACACCATCCCTGACAGATGTCTATCTAACCTGTTCTTAAATATCTCCAGAGAGGGAGATTCCACCACCTCCCTTGGCAATTTATTCCAATATTTGACCACCCTGACAGTTAGGAATTTTTTCCTAATGTCCAATCTAAACCTCCCCTGCTGCACTTTAAGCCCATTACTCCTTGTCCTGTCCTCAGAAACCAAGAGAAACAAATTTTCTCCTTCCTCCTTGTGACACCCTTTTAGATATTTGAAAACCACTATCATGTCCCCCCTTAATCTTCGTTTTTCCAAACTAAACAAGCCCAGTTCACGAAGCCTGGCTTCATAGGTCATGTTCTCTAAACCTTTAATCATTCTTGTCACTCTTCTCTGTACCCTTTCCAATTTCTCCACATCTTTCTTGAAATGTGGCGCCCAGAACTGGACACAGTACTCCAGCTGAGGCCTAACTAGTGCAGAGTAGAGCGGCAGAATAACTTCACGAGTTTTGCTTACAACACACCTGTTGATACAACCTAGAATCATATTTGCTTTTTTGGCAACAGCATCACACTGTTGACTCATATTCAACTTGTGGTCCACTATGACCCCTAGATCCCTTTCCGCCATGCTCCTTCCTAGACAGTCGCTTCCCATCTTGTATGTATGGAACTGATTGTTCCTTCCTAAGTGGAGCACTCTGCATTTCTCCTTATTAAACCTCATCCTGTTTACCTCTGACCATTTCTCTAACTTGCTAAGGTCATTTTGAATTATGTCCCTATCCTCCAAAGAAGTTGCAACCCCACCCAGTTTGGTATCATCCGCAAACTTAATAAGCGTACTCTCTATCCCAATATCTACATCATTGATGAAGATATTGAACAGTACGGGTCCCAAAACAGACCCTTGAGGAACTCCACTTGTTATCCCTTTCCAGCAGGATTTAGAACCGTTAACAACAACTCTCTGACTACGGTTATCCAGCCAATTATGCACCCACCTTATCGTGGCCCTATCTAAGTTATATTTGCCTAGTTTATCAATAAGAATATCATGCGAGACCGTATCAAATGCCTTACTAAAGTCTAGGTATATGACATCCACCGCTTCTAATAAACCATCTTGTTAGTCTTTAAAGTGCTACATAGTCCTGGTTTTTTGTTATATCTAAATACAGACCTCAAACTAATCTAAAACTCTGTTAACTTTAGCAAGAAAATAATTTAAGAGCTGAATTTTGCAGTACTTCAGATTAAAGTCAGAGTCAACCATGAAAGTATTAAACCACAAAACTGTCACCTATTCCATCATTAATAAAATCTAAATTATTGGAAATTGCCATTTTTTTCAACTATTAAGTCTGAGAAGTATCTTGATGTAGAGAGCTAGCCTTGCCTTATTGTACAATCTACATATATACAAACATCCCACTCACTGTTAGGTTTAGGTTTTTCAGTTGCATATGGTAATGGCTCCCACAGCACAACCACATTTTTAAGTGACATGGGAAGAGCTGAATACCCAAAGAAGCAGGTAGTCTTAAAGAACCAGATCTCTTTGGCTAGTGTTGCCGCCTCAGAATTATTTCCATCTCTCTCAATCTTCTGAAGCACTCTTAAAAACAGAATGGGAGGAAAGCATAAAGAATGGGCTCCTGGGAATCTCTACAGATATTACTGGTTTGATCGTGCTATTAAGAGGAGGTAATTGTTGGCCCACTACATAAAATTTTCAGTGACTTCACCAGTGCTGAAAAAATTATTTCAGGTTTTGCAGTGCCGTGTCTCTATTTGTAGGTGCCACAGCTCTGTAGTAGATCTTTGTTCAAGTTTCAAGCAATCAGGAAACATGTTCACCAATCTGAATGGGTTTCTCAGGTTCTAAAGGGGGGAGGTAGGTGTATGTTGATTAGTTATAGAATACAATACTACTCATTAATTCCCACAAGGATCACTACAGAATGAATCCAGGCACCTTTGCTCCCTAAGAGCCTGACTTTCCTGTCTCTCTAGGAATCTAAGACTCGGGGGCCTGCTCACAGAGAGGTTACATGAGAGTGTGCACAACGTTAAATTTTCTGTAACTGTGCTAACATTGCTAAGCTATAAAAGCATCATAAATTTATTATTTTTAAAAAAATACCTGTAGCTGGAGTAGAATTGCTCATGGTAAAAGGCCCGTTAGTGATACTTGAAGAAAGAAGCTCGTCAGATCCACGCTGAAAACATAAAATACAAGATTATCAGAAAGGCATTCCTAGGCAAAAATCCACCTCTTAACAGAACTAACAAATTACTGTAATCAGGTACTCAGTTTTACATTTCATAATTTCTTTTTAACATTACCCATCACATTATCTATTTTTTTGTGTGAGATATTTAAGAACATGCACTAATATTCCAACAAGAAAGAGAACAAATGCAAATATCAGCCAGCCATATCACACTGGTTGGCCCTTAAAATTCAAGGTGCTAATGTTTTCTGAAAATGAGCTGAGCTATATTAAACCATAGACTGACAAATCTATTGCCTATTCTAAGCCATTGCTTATAAATACACTTTCTATTTCTCTCTCATAAGAACGGCCATATTAAGTCAGACCAACGGTCCATCTAGCCCAGTATCTTGTCTGCTGACAACGGCCGATAACGCAGAGGGAGGGAACCGAACGGGTAATCCTCACATGATCCCTCCCGTTACCCACTATGAGAGGCAGAAAAGGGGGGGGGGGGAGGAGCCGGTGCTGTGGCAAGTGGACTTAAAAGCCGTCTCTGTGATGCTGCCTGCCCCCCTCCTGTTAACCTCTATCAGAGGCAGCAGGGGGGAAGGTAGGGGAGGTTACCGTGAAGCCATCACTGCCTGTAGCATGCCAAGGGTCCACGGACAGGGTCTGCTGCAGCCTCCAAGCAGCCCCTGTTTGCGGCAATCCAGGCTGGTGTTGTCTGTTGGTGGAGGCTAGGGGTTGCTCTGGCAGCAGCCCCTACCTGCAGCTTGTGCTGATCCAGGAGACTGCCCCTCTGCATTTTAAATGTAGTAAGAGCCCAGAAGCATTTATTACTTTTAAAATGCAGAGCCGCAGCATGGGTGGCTCCCAGAGCCAGCGCGAGCCGGGACTACACAGTTAGATAACCACAATTTAACATCCTTAACTGAATAAGACAGAGAATATCTTATTGCCTATATATATATATATCCCATGCCCACATCTTGAATACTGCATACAAACGTGGTAGCCTCATCTCAAAAAAGATATATTGGCATTGGAAAAGATTGGAAAAGGGCACATCTTAACAGTTTCATGACTATTCGACAATCCCTGGGGGCAGGGATTGCAGTCAGCGTGCTCCCAGCCCCACTCCTGTGGAACCCCCTGCCCCTCTCTGTATCAGTGTGGGGAGGCAGCAGCAGCTCCTGTCCACTGGGGTCTGAGCTCCCCCACAGATCCCCCACTGACAGGGGCTGCTGCTGTGGAGCAAACACCAGACAGAGGCTGCTTCGCGGCAGCTCCCCTGCCCACCCCTGTGCTGCTGCCTCTGATTGCAGGGCGGGGAACAGGCAACACTGAAGAGCTGGTGTTGGGGGGACCAACTTTTAAGCCAGCTATTCCCAGCACCGGCTCCTACCTGCCTCTGCTCTGTAGGAGGCAGCAAGTGAGGGTGGGGCAGGCAGGTGTGCAGAGCCAGCTTCCTGCACATATAGGATCCCGCATGCCCCCCTAAATCCTCCGCACTACTGCCTCTCTAACAGAGGCAGCAGCCTGGGGCTGGGGGTGAAAGGCAGATGGATCTAGTGTTTGGGGGGAACTTGCTTAAAGCCAGCTCCTCAAGAGCAATGGCTCCCGCTCTCCCCTTCTTGCTGCCTCTGCTACAGAGGCAGCAAGGAGGGAAATGTGTGTAGTCAACAAGATTAAGCCAAGATTTATCAGTTAATTGTGTAGTCAATTACACGCTAACATCCCTAAACTCACATAATCCCTGCCCCGAAGAGCTAATTTACACTCATCCCTCAAAACAACCATTTGAGAACTAGATCTGTACTGTCAGAGGAAATGCTTTCTGGAAAGTTAGTTTCCAAAGAATGAATCAACAGCCAAAGCCCAGATATTTAGATTGCTCTCTCCGCATCTTTAACGCTCATTCAGGATTCATATGGAGGCCTGGACGGTAACACAAAGCTAGGCTGATAAGTGTCACTTTTCAGAGGGGTAGCCATGTTTGTTTTTGCTGAAACAGATTATCAGGAGTCCTGTGGTAATTTAAAGACTAACAAATGTATATAGACATAGCTTTCGTAGGCTGGAGTCCCAGTCTTCAGATGCATGAAGCCGAAGCTTCACTTTGGCAGGGATGTGTACACATGCAAAAATGGGTGCTAACAAGGCCAATTCAATTAGTGTGGACGTGGATCACTCCCAACAATCGATGAGAAGGTGAGAGGACCAGAAGGAGGGAAATTACTTTTTCTAGTGATCTAGCCACTCAGTATACAGGCCCAATATGAGTGTCAAATTTGCATGTGAATTTTTTTTGCAACTTTCAAGTCTGTTACTGAGTATCCAGGGAGGATGAAGTGGTCTCCTACTGGTTTTTGCTGACAGTGATAACAGAACATGGCTAAGATGCCACTGAGGTCTAGATCTAAAAATGTGAGAGACAATCCTGAGCAAGTTCTCCATAAATTGTTCAGACACTGGGTGAGTAAAATAAAGAAGAAAACACTAATCACTGCTAAGTTTGCCCACAGCTAACGAAAGGCTAGACCTGAATTATTTCAGGACAGTAAACAGTCTAGGATGACAGGAATACTCTAGCAAATGTCAGAAGAAACACCCCCAGATCTAAAAGCACCTCCTTTGATCTAGGTGGTAGGTTGGAGTAGAATCATTTCTATTTTGGTTAAGGATCTCCTGAACAATGGCAAAGCATGAGGATTCTATTTCCAATGCTCTGAAGCGGAGTGAGCCTGGGTTGGGCTGCTGCTTGATTTCCCCCGCCCTGGATTATGAGACACAGAAATGGGCGTGTACTGATAAATGACTATATGGACATCATTACAAGATCCATCAGCCAGAACTGGATGGGCCAGAACAGTGGTAGGAAGATGATGGTTCTGTTGTGACAAATCTTCCCTATGACTTGTGTTAGTAGGGGAACTAAGGAGGAAAAGTGCATCTTATACTTATCAAGGACAACAGGAGAGCATCATCCTGGGAATCATGACCCATGGCTCCCATAGGAAAAGACAGGGGATGTTTTTCTGTTCACTTGGGATATAAAAGAGGTCCCATAACAGAGTATTCCCACTGTATAAATATCTTAGGACTTGTGTAGCTCCCATTCATGGTATGCAGAGAAGCTTCTGCTTAATCAGTGCGCCAGGGAGTTATGAACATCAAGGAAGTACAAACCTATGCAGTCTCTGTTTGGCTAGTGAGTTGAGTAGAGCCAAACTTGCAGACACTGAAAGTGGAGTCTGGCAAACATCACCACATAGGTACTTCTGATCATTTGGCCTAACAGCGATAGACACTGACGCACCATAGCTTGTGGTTTACAGGTAACAGAGAAAGTTTTCACCTTGTGCAGTCTGGAGGGGTCATGATGCAAACTTGATAACATTGTCTGATACAATTTAAGACCCACTTGGGCAGCCTTTGGGCTGATATTGCTGAGCCCTTGGACCTTTCCACGATGGAGAGGAAAAGCCATGGGGACTTCCTAAAGGCTTTAGAGAAGCTCAGGATACTTCAGATGTCTTGATGAGAAAGAAGGTTGAGATAGAAGACAGGAATGTGAATCAATCGATTCTTGTGAAATAAGGAGGTTATTTTAAGGATGAATTTTGGAGGGGTTCTGAGCACATGGCTGTCTGGAAAAAAAACTGTAGGAAGGGAATGTG